CCTCCTCCACCTCCCGCGCCCCGCGCCCTCCCACCTGCAGGAAGTTGTAGCTGAGCCGCTCGTAGCGTTTGAGAGCCGGCCTGCTGGAAAAATAGCCGGTCCAGAACATGTGGGGGCCATCGGCGTAGGGAAAGAAGTCGTCCTCCTTCACCGACCTGCACAGCCGGGGCTCTGAGGGCAGGAGCGCGGCCCGCCGGGCTGCCCACACACCCCTGCTGCCCAGCCCCGCAGCCCACCCCCACAGCACCACAATTACCAGGTGAGATTGGCCTTGTTCAGCTCCCAGAGATAACAAGCAGGAGTGGAGTAGAGAACATGGACGCGGCTCCCGTTCACCTGCTGCTGGAGGGAGACAGATGTGAACCTCTGGCCTCGGGGTAGGGCCCGTGTGGACAGCGCTGCTCCCAGGAGTGTGTTCGCTAAATACACGTGTTGGGTGCAAACTAGAGATCAGGTGTGAAAGTAAACCTACGCTTGGAACCAAACCTTACTTACCATCTTTAAAGGATTCCAGAGACAATCCTGAAATTCAGGTGTGTGTATTTGTGTGTGCTCGCACGTGAGCGTGGGCACAGACATGCTAGTACTGGGGCTCTAAGCCTCCTGAGTCGCTAGGATTACAGGTGTGAACCACCTATGCCTGGCTCAAATATAACTGGGTTGGGTTTTTTCTGTTTGGGGGGGAGGCAGGGATGATCTGGGTCTAGAACCCAGGGCACTGAGCATGCTAAGCACTCATTCTATATCAGAATGGAGGCTTGTTTATTCATTTTTCTCTTTGGCAGTCCTGGGTTGCTTGCTCTATTACTTGAGCTACATTCCCAATCCTTTTTTGCTTTAGTTTATTTTTCAGATTGGGTCTTACTCTTTGTGCCTGGTAGGGACAACAACTTTCCTAAAATCTTCCAACCTCTACTTTTCCCATAACTGAGGTTACAGGTATGAACCACCATGCCCCACTTGGGGTCTGTCTTTCAACTGCAGGGAATGAAGAAGCAAGGTAACCTGCATGAGATAAAAGATATTTGCTCTGCTCGTGTTGTACTCAGGTGTACACCACAGGTGCTCAGATACTTTAAGTGTAGACACACATCCACACAAATACAAGCATACGCATACACAGTTATCATTAGGCATTCTTTTTTGGGGGAGAGGGAGGGCAGTACCAAGGCTTGAACTCAAGCCAAGCAGGCATTTTACTACGTGAGCCACAGTCTCAGCCTTCCCACTCAGTACCCTTGAAAGACTGTGTCTAGGACTTCTCCCCAGGTTACCAGAACTCTAAAATGTTCAAGTTTCATGCCCAAAATCACTACCCCTCAACTGGGTGCCAGTGGCTTACACTTGTAGTTCTAGTTACTCAAGAAGATGAGATCTGAGGATCCCAGTTCATAGCCAGCCTGAGCAAGACAGTCCATGAAACTGAGTTCAAGCACCAGAACCAGCCCCTCTTCCTCCCCCCCCCAAAAAAATGTGTCCGTCCCACCACTTCAGGAAGTACTGGGACATCCCATCATACACTGCACCTCCAGCTCTGTAAACCAAAGCCACCCTTTTCTCTAAAACTTAGACACTTACAAAGGTCCAGGGATAGCAAGGTGATTCTCACACATGCACACGGGTACCACAGGGCAGGCACACTGACCTCCGCGTTGACCAGACGGATGAGCTTGTCCAGGTTCTTGAACCACAAGTTGGCGTTCTCATATTGGAAGTCGGAGCCCATGGTCATCACCGTGTGCTTGGTGCGGTAGTACTGGCCCTGGAGGCCAGAAGGGAGTCCTCAAACCAGAGTCCTGGACCTCCTATGTCTAGCTGGTTCTCTACATGGCCAAGAATATACAGGGGAGTGGGGCCTGGTGACACATGCCTGTATTCCCAGCTACTTGGGAGGCAAATGTAGGAGGGTCATGGATTAAGGCAAAAGTATGAGACCCTATGGAGGGGGGGGGGTAGGGGAGGAACTAAGGAACTAAAGGACTGAGAGCACAGCTCAAGTCCTATAGGGCTCACCCAAGGGTGAGTCCCTGAGTTCAATTCCCAGTACCACCAAAAGAAATATATGTGCATATATGGCACATGGTCATAGGAATATATAAGTAAAAATAGCCAGAGGGCTGGGCACCGGTGGCTCACACCTGTAATCCTAGCTATTCAAGAGGCTGAGATCTGAGGATCTCGGTTCAAAGCCAGCCGGGTAGAAAAGTCCCCATGAGACTCTTATCTCCAATAAACCACTCAAAAAAACAAAAGTGGACCTGTGGCTCAAGTGGTAGAGTGCTAGTCTTGAGGAAAAACAGGCAAGGACAGCTCCCAGGCTCTGAATTCAAGCCCCCCAACCAACTAATAATAATAACAATAACAACAACCACTACCAGTGGTATTTAAGTAGGTCTCGTGGACCCATAACACAGCTAAGGCCACTACATCACTGTGCTATGTTTTGGGGGTGTTTTAGTATGTGTTTGTGTGCCAGGACGGGGGCCTGAACTCAAGGCTGATGCTCTAGCACTTGAGCCACAGCTCCACTTCTGGCTCATGGTCTTTTCCTGCCTAGACTGGCTTTGAACCATGATCCTCATATCTCAGCCTCCTGAGTAGCTAAGATTACATATGAGCCACCATTACCCAACTTGTTTAAAATTTGTTGTTGCTATTTTAGCAGTACAAGGGACAGACTCAAGGCCTCATGCTCTCCTGGTCCACTCCCACTTGGACCACCACCCTTTTTTGCTTTTAGCTTGTTTTTTTAGATAGGGTCCCAGAATTTTGCCCTGGTCAGCCTTGAACCTTGATTCTCCCATCTCTGCTTCTGAAGTAGCTGGGATTATAGGCATGCACCGCCATGTCCAGCTACCACGCTGTTTTACCACGCCATGAAGGAGGCGGCCATGGTGGTGGTGAGTGGAATGGTAACACTTGGTCTCCCTCCTCCTACCCCTTGGGCTGTGGAAAGGCCTCGGTGTATGCTCTACAACCTCCTCAAAGTCCTGGATGCAGGAGTTACCTGAGTCTTAGCCAATTTTAGGAAGTAACGGACCAGCTTGTCGGCGTTGTACTCTGGGCTTTGGGGGTCTTCCACCACTGGCGCGTCCGCACACAGTATATCCCAGCACAGATTGTCCGGTGGGTTGTAACCGTTGGGGAGCACACCTGTAAGCCACACTAGGTTCAGGGGAGGGAGATGCTCAATGCCCCACACCTGCCCTGGGCTCAAAGCCTGCCACGCCCACCCAGGATGGGCTTCACCGCCAGGAAGGCCCGCTGCAGAAGGAAAATGGAGGCTCGTGGGCACAAGTCATTTGAAGTTTTTTTTTTTTCTTTTGACGATTGTGGGGATTGAACCTATGGCCTCGCGCTTGCCGGGCAGCCGCTCCACCCCTTGAGTCACAGCTCTAGCCCCTTTTGCGTTGCCGTAGGATTTCAGTTTATCCCCTGGCTGGTCTGGGCCACCACCCTCCTACTGGTGCCTCCCACTCCCAAGTCCCTGGGGGTGACAGGCCAGTGTCAGATGGAGACAGCTTCCAATTGCAAACATCCCAATCTCCTCCAGGCCCCAGTACAAAAGAGTTCTCTGGAGGCAGGACACCTGCTTAATGATTAATGGTCTTAGGACAGTATTCACAGATCAGTAAGTCAAGCCCAGGATCCTCCCTTGCTTGGGGCCCCTCACCTGTGAAGAGGTCAGCAGTGGGTGGCTTCAGGCTGCTGCTGCCCCTCCACAACTGCTCCATCTCCAGCTTTTCCTTCCGCACCTGTTTGTCTTGATAATCAAGCCGCCCAAAGAAGAAGCCATCAAAGCCCATCTGGGAGTGGGGTGCGAGGGGACAGATGAATCAATACACACCCAGCCTCCAACCACCCAGCTCCCCTTGGGAAGGGTGGATGTGAGCCAGAAACTAAGCACTGAAACTTAGGAGGCTTCCAGTTTGGGAGTTTTGTTCTTTGTGAGGGTAGAGTTGCTGGCTCTGCAGGATGGAGCTCTGAATTCAGGGCCTTGCACTGGTCAGGCAGACACTCTACCGCTTGAGCCATGCCACCAGGCCCTTTTGATGCTGCATTCTTTTTTTGGTAGAGTCCCCCTTCCCTTTTTGTCCCTGTCTGCTTCAAACTACCTTTGCCTGTCTCTTAGTTAAGATTACAGATGTGAAGCACTATACCTAATTTATTTCTTGAGGTGGATTTCAGTAATGTTTGCCCTGGCAGGCTTAGAACTGCAGGCCTTCCAAGTAACTAGAATTACAGGCATGAACAAAGCCCAGTTCTCATTTTGCTTTTTGAGATTGGATCTGGCTATGCAGTCCAAGCTGGCCTCACATTAATGATCCTCCTCAGCCTCAAGAGTGCTGGGACTGCAGGCATGCACCACATTGTCTGGCAAGGTGCCTGAGCTTGGGAAGGACCAGAAGGTTCTGCCGGGCAGCTGAGAGGGAGTAGGCCAGACCCATCCCTGCCCTTCAGTTAAAGCTGAAAGGAGACCAGGCTCTGGTGAGTCACACCTGTAATCCTACCAACTCAAGAGGCTGAGATTGGAGGATCTGGTTTGAAGCCAGCCAGGGCAGGAAAGTCCCCAGGAGATTCTTATCTCCAATTAATCACTCTGTAGCTCATAGTGGTAGAGTGCTAGCCTTGAGCAAAAGAGCTTAGAGACAGTGTCCAAGCCCTGAGTTCAAGCCCCATAACCACCACAAAAAAAAAAAATCGCTAAGAACGGTGGGTCAGAGGACAGGAATGGGAGCTGGTTTCAGGATGGGGTCATTTGTTTTTTGAGGTACTGGGGTGTGAACTGCTTGAACTGGAACTCCAGCTAAGCAGGCGGTCCACCGCTTCAGCCAAGACCCCAGCCCATTAAGGAGGCTGGGTCTGCGCGTGCCACGAGGCTTGGGGTGCAACCACGGTCCTGGCGGGCGGAGGGTGACCAGACCCCTGGGCAGCCTGGTGAGGGCGGAGGGAACAACTGGACACTGGAGGACTGCATGGGGGGGGGGGGCTCAGCAGGCCAGGGTCTCCCGGCGGATGTGGCAGGGGAAGGGCGGGGCCTGACGGCCGGGGAGGAGCCAGTGCGGGCCAGAGAGGTCAGGATTGCACCTGAGCAAACAGCGAGGCCTGTTCCCGAGAGTGGCCAAAGGGGTCGATGTGCCAGGCCACGCGGGGACGCCCGTCGCTGCCGAACGTGTCCTCCAGAAAGCGCAGCCCGAGGGTCATCTGGTCCACGATGGCGCCGTAGTGGGTGGCCGCCTCGTCGTTCATCACCCAGCCGCCGTTGGCGAACTCCAGGCGTCCTGAGCCAAGAGGTGGAGCTAGGAGCGCGGGTCCGCGGTCGGGGAAGGGGAGAGGGGCGCTCCCGCTGGGGGGGGCTGGGACTGGACGCGCGCACGGCCGCGGCAGTGCGGAGACGGCTGGGCACGGCTGCAAGACCTCGGAGGCGGCTCGGCCTCCTTTTCCGCTTCCTCTTTCGCTTCCTCGGGCCACTCACCCTGGCGCACCAGGTCCCGCACGGTCTCCTGCGTCGCGTTGGTCTGCTGGCGCCACCAGCGCGAGAAGAAGGCCATCTCCACGTAGACGAAGCGCCGGGAGGGCTCGGCCGCCAGGGCGGAGAGCACCGAGTCCAGGATGTACTGCACGCCCGCGTGCTGCATGTCGTTCCGGACTGTGGACACAGCAACGTGGGGAAGAGCCCGAGGCCGGGCCCGGGGGGGGGGGGCCGCCGCCCGCCCTACTCACAGCCGTAGAAGTACTGCTCCACGGTCTTGAGCCAGCCCACGTCGTCGTGCGTGTGGGCCAGGAGGTGGACGTTCAGCATGTCCGGCTTCACCGGGGGACACGTCTGCAGGGGACCCGAACACACACGGGCCGTCAGGGGCCCGCCAGCACGAGCCAGGCCAGGCCACAGGCAAAGCCCCGAGCTCCACAACGACGGCCTCGGAGCCGGCGAGGCCCGGAGAGGCGGCCGGCCCTCCCA